GGTTGCTGTGAGCTGTAATGCCATGGCACTCTACCCAGGGGGACAGCTTGAGGCTCTGTCTCAAAAAAAAAAAAAAAAAAAAGAATCTCCTTGTGCAGGAGCTTGTTCCAAGGTCAGTTGCAAAGGCAACTTGGAAGTCTGTTCTGCCATAACAAAAGGAGGTGGCAGTGATAAAAATTTAGAAAAGGGGGGGCTTAGGTGGTGGGCAAAGTGGTGCATACTTAGACAAAGAGGAGACATGAAGTCCAGCCATGGCCAATAGCCTGGAGGCACCCAGGTTTTCATCTGAAACAGAAGAGGAACACTCCTCATCATATTTTTGTTCCTCATTTTGTAAGGTTTGTTGAGATTCAAGGGGGAGGCTCATTATACTTAGGTCTTCCTGCTGGAGCAGAAGGAGAAACACATCATTTAAAAGGGGGAATGCATCTATCCACGATTAGGATCTAAACAGTTTCTAACTAGTCCCCAATGAGAGAGAGCATCAGTAGGAACATTAAAAGGTCCTTTGGCCGTGTGACAGGAATGCAGTTTCTCCCCTATTCTGCCCCAGGTAGCAGCGTTAACAGTGCCTCCTCAGGGAACCATGGACAAACTTCTTGAATAAAGTGAAGAAACTGTTCTAACTGGGTAACGGGAATATGACACCCCTGGGCTAACATAGACTTAAGCATTAGAATAAAGAGTTCTTGCTCCTTTGAGCTGGACTGTCGCATAATTTATTACTTATCCTGGAACACAGATTCACTTAGGATCCACGAAGTTCCTCATTTCTCCTCGTGGGGGGTTTCCTCACCTGCATGCACCTACTATCCTGCACTTTGGTCCCTATTGAGGGCGCCACCTTTTGCAAACCCTCACAAAGAGTAAATGTACAAAATGGGGATGGTAAGGAATGAAGAAAATAAACTATATAAAAGACAAAGATCACAGGAGAGATAAGGAGGGGTCAGTAGGTCTCACGCAGTTGGTGACTGCAGCGCCCAGCTATGAACAGCTTTATTTATGTAGCACCTAAACTAGGTTGCTGTACTAACAATACTGAAAATCAGCAGGGAGAGCGAGTGAGAATATTTTCATCTGGCAAGGTTGAGGGGAAGTAATAGTACACAGGGTAAAGACTAACTTTAGGGAGAGAAGGCTGTGTGCTTTTAGGCAAAAGATGGAAAAGTATTCACACTCTACGTGACTTCTGGCAGAGGGAGCAAGGAGAAAGGATTATTGTTCTTTTAGGAAGGGAGGAGAAGCAGTTGGGGGCCATTCCCTGAATGTGCCTCCTGGGCTGTGGGGGTCTTGTCACCTAACAATCCATACTCCACAAAAAATCCTTGACTTAAGGGCAAGTTTAGCATCATCAGATGATTCCCAGACTGAGTTCTTCTCTGCTCCCAGAGGCCCCAGGTGGCTCCACTGCAGCCTCTGTCCCTCTGTCGTCTGCAGGGACCATGCATACATGGGGGGACTCTGGGACAACCCAGGAGCTGGGAAGTGCAAGTGCAGATGATAGCAGCAGTTGGCTGGCACACTGAGAGGGGCTGTCTGCGTCTGATAACCTGGTAAAGACTTTGCAGCCATCACACACCCCAAGCAAGATATCCATACAGCAGAAAGGGCAAGTCTCAGTCCTGTTAGCACGTGTGGAGTGCTGAGGGCCCAGAGCCCCATAACAGTCACATAAAAGAAGTCAGGAGCAGGCACTGACCTCCAGGACACAGTTTTCCCACATCTGGTTATGGTGGACAGCCCAACATCAAGAACCAGCTGTCAGAGGGACGAGTCCCTGATCGCCCTCTCCTTGATTCCTTCAGGGCTGGATGCGGCTGTGAACTTCACACAACAGGAGGAGCTTTGTGGGAGGAAGGGCAGAAGATTCTCTGTAGATATGTGATGCAGAGAAGCTTTAGGAACATCAAATTTATGGGAGACAGAGAGGAAGACTAGAACCTTGAAGATCAGTTTGAAAATTCTGTAAGTCATCTAGGAAATCATGGAGGAAAAGGCTCTGAATGTATGAAACGTGGTAAAGCTTCCAGATTCCCCGTGACCTTTGTGTATGTGAAAGAACTCACACTGGAGAGAACACATCTTACCACAGGAAACGTGGCAAAGCCTCTGGTGACTCCAGACATCTCTGTGACCTGGCGAGCTGCCCCACTGGGAGAAGCCTTGTCTGTGGAGACTTGGGGAAAACATGGAGTTCTCCCCATTTTCTTCAAAGACATAAAAAGACTCAAACTGGAAAGAGGCTGTTCACGTGAAAAGTGTAACAAAGCCTTGCCCTGGTCAGATCCTTTTACTAGCAGGAGAAACCCACATGAAGAGAACCCCTGTGAGCAGGCGGAAAAGGCTTCCAACGTCCTGCACCACAGGAAAGGACTAACTCTGAAGAAGACGGTCAGTGCGGTCTATAGCAAAACTTCTGCATTGATATTTCTCTTTCAAGACAGGAAGGAACTCAGTCTGGAGGAAAAACTCCATGAATTAAGAAAATGTGATACAGGTCTCAGTCACTACTGGGGTTCTTAAATGCATAAAAGAACTCAAGTTGCAGGGAAACTTTATTAAAGTAGGGAATGTGGAGGAAAGCTTGATTATTCCAGTTTTCTTCAAAGATGTAAAAGGAATCAAACTGGAGAAAAACCCCATTAAGTGTAAACAAAGTGGCAAAATGTTTGGTTTTTCCAGTTCTTTTTGAAAACAAGAACTCACGCTAAGGAAAAGCCTTATGAATGTAAGAAATGGGTGGACCTTTGGTTCCACTTTTATTTGAGGATATAAAATAACTCATTCTCAAGAAAAACTCTGGGGAGGCCTGGGATGTGGGAGAGCTTTCGCGTCTCTTGCCTCTGTCCAGAGACCTGCCCGCGAACACTGGAGTCGGATCTGACACTCTGACAAGGCTCCCTCCTGTAATGTACTTTTGTCATTGCTGCCCAGGCTGCTGCTGTAGTCTGTGGTGAGTGAGCCACACCGCACAGTCACCTCCCAGTGCAGCTGGCCTCCTCGGTGCTGGGGCAATCTAACCGGTGGGCTGCACTCACTGCTTGGTGCCCAGCACAAGACCCCAGGGCCAGCCCTTCCAACTCTGTCCTGTGAGAGAAGAAACCTCTGCTGCCCTGGACCCTTGGGTTAAAGACTGCCCACCCCCCACCCGCAGAGAGGGGTTTAGGTGCTGAACTTGTCCGCAGCCTGTCTATACTAATCTCTGACACACCTTTCCCCTACAGACCTTGGAGTGTGACCGTGAGCGTCACCATGTCTGTCACCTCTAAGTCCTTGTTTTCTCTATTACAGAGGCTGGATACCTTTGGCAACTGCCTCTCGCTACACACCCCTCAGCTTGCTGCCCTCCCAGGGTGGGCTACTCACCCACCCCCCCAGAGCCGTGCAGGTGGGCCTTTAGTGACAGGGCCACAGTGAACAGCTGTCACTGGATCTTATTAAGTCCATGAAGAAAAGTCTCTGTCTTCCATGTTCTTTCTTTGCGTGCACTCCATGATCTGCCTTCTCGGACCCACTGACAGTGAGCTGTCTCACTGAATGTGCTCTGTGGCACAGTACCCTCTCCAGATCCCAGACCTTCGCTGCCCACCTGGGGATGTCCCACTTGCTGACCCGTACTCTGTGGCATGATCCCCCCTGCGGATCCGGGACCTCTGCAAGAGCAAAAGAAGCTTCCACTGCTTTGTGATGGCAGCTAGTTGACTCTGGGAGGTCCTTGGGGGGAGCTTTGCGCTGCTGTCTGTGGCACTGGGAGGTCTGCCCATGTCACAGGTTAGGAAGGAATCAGACAGCCAGATGATGCAGCACTTGAGAGGGGTCCCTGACTCAGAGGCCGAGGAGTGCCTGCCCGCCAGGGAGGACAGAGGGTAAGGAAGGAGGTGCCTGCCCAGGCTTGGGAGGCGACTGTGCCAACACCCCTCTTCGTGATGGGTCAGGCGGCAGCTGCAGGTGGACAGCGGCTGGGCTGCGGGTGGGGCGGGGTGGAGGTGGGGACCCGGGCTTCCCAGCGGGCTTCGAAGACTGGGAGGGCTGGAGGAGTGTCACGGCAGGAAGAGTGAGGGCGGGGCGTGCGAGCTAGACCGGGTCGCACAGCGTAGCCTAGGCCAGTCCAGGGGAGACGGCAGCCCTGGCAGTTGCTGTGGGACAGGAGGTTTATCCTGTCCGGCAGAATCGGCCTAGCAACGTGGCTTTCTCCGATGTCAGGTGGACAAGGTAGAAGGAGGAGCAGCCTGGTCTCCGCCTGAGGCACCGCCGTGAGCGTCCTGGGGGAGCGGATGCCCACTTGGCCGGGCGGTGGGATAGCGCTGGCTTCGGTGCCGGCGAGCCCCTGGGGTCTGGTCAGGCTGACCCTCCATCCCCGTGCGTTTCTCTGGGTGCACAGGCACGCGGCCCCCCACCCCACCCGGGCCTGCCTACGGCACCTCGCTTAACCCCCATCTATGTGGGCTGTTGTACTGATCCACCTGCCCAGCTCCCCAGAGCGAGCGACTAGACTAGACCCGCAAATCCTGGGAGCACCTCGGAGCGTCGCAGGGTGGGGGTAGGGCGGGAGCAGGCCCAGGGTCGGGGCGGGGCTCCCGTGGTGCGCTGGCCAGGCCCAGCCTGATGCTCTGCGCCCGCCGGGGCGCATGGGGCGGGCGCGCCATGGGGAACCGCAGCGCTGCGGACGCGGGTGGGCTGCTGGTGGGGCGCGGGCCGGGCTCAGGGGCCCCGGTGACGGCTGCGGGGCTAGGGGGGCCGGGCGCGGCGGCGCTGGCGGGGGGCGTGCTGCTCATTGGCGCGGTGCTAGCGGGGAACTCGCTAGTGTGCGTGAGCGTGGCCGCCGAGCGTGCCCTGCAGACGCCCACCAATTACTTTATCGTGAGCCTGGCTGCCGCTGACCTCTTACTCGCCCTCCTGGTGCTGCCGCTCTTCGTCTACTCCGAGGTGAGCTGCGTCCCCGACCGCAGGCGCATCTCGCCTCCCGCCTCATTGCCTGCCCACATCCCTGCCAAGGAACCCCTGTGACGGAGCCACCTCGCCTCTCGCGAGCCTCCAGCTGAGGTGGTTGCAGGGGGCGCCGCGCCTGACCCCTGCACCCGCACCCCGCCCTGCATCACGTCCTTCCCTCGCCCCCAACCCCCTCTGTCTTGGCATCTGCCGCTGCAGAGATACTCTGTCCTTCAATGCAGGGGTCCCGGAAACAAGCAACTTTTCCAGTCAAGTCCTGCCCCCCTGCCCCGTCCCAGTGAGTCCCTGGCTATTGGGGGCTGTGGTTCTGGGGAGCCTGGTGACATAGAGGAACCAGCTGGACAGACAGGCAGATGCAGGCTCAGCCCCCAGCTCCCCTGATCCCTGGGGACACACACACACAATCACTGCACACGGTGGCTGGGCCAGCCATGCACACACATAGCCACACACTTGAGCAATCAACAAGGAGACACACACGCACATGCAGCTGCTCAGCTTCTAAGCTGGACAGAGGGAGACCTGAGCCCTGGAGCCTCCACCACAGACTAGGTTTGGCCTTGGGGTGGGTCCACCTTGGTGCCAACCCCTTTGCTTGAGGTCTGGCCAGAGAAAACCGGCTTAGGTCTGCACTGTGGGGGTGGGGAGGCTTGGGGTTTCCACGGTGGACAGGGCAAGTCCTGGCTGGCTGAGGGCACAAGGGCACACCTGAGCTGTTGCTCTGAAGAGCTGCGACGGACGTCACAGTGACGACTCTTAAGCTCCTAATCGTCCAGAATCACAGGCAGGGATTAGAGGGGCTGTCTGCTCCTTTGCCCTTGCAGAGTGCCAGCCTCTGTGTGTGATCCCATGCTGGGCATGGGCCCAGGTCTTTGTATTTTTTCAACTAATTCGTCCAAAAGACAATTATGTGGATGCTATCACTACTCTCATCTCACAGATGAGGAAACAAGCAAACTTACTGGTTCAATGTCTGCAACTGTGGCCTCCCTCTTCCCCAGGCCTTTCTCGTCTTAACTGCCAAACCCATCCCAAAGATGGAGGGGGCATTTCTCTGCCCCCTCCCCTGGACAGTGGGTCCAAGGACTGCTCAGACAAGTGTGTAGGGCAGGGTGCCCGGGGTCATCTGGCTTACATTGGGCTCCCTTCCCCTCTGATACTCAACCCCCATTCCCCCCCCGCCAAAATAGGGGTCCCAAAGCTGCCATGGCTAGGGAGACCTCACTCGGTCTCGAGTCTTGTGCGCCCCGTTTCTTCCTCCAGGTGCAGGGCGGTGCGTGGCTGCTGAGCCCGGGCCTCTGCGACGCCCTCATGGCCATGGACGTCATGCTGTGCACCGCCTCCATCTTCAACTTGTGCGCCATAAGCGTGGACAGGTGGGCCGCCCGCCCCGCCCCGCCCCCAGCCGTGCCCTCCCATGCCCCTCCCGGCTGCGCCGCCCTCACCAAGCCTCGTGTCCGTCCGGCGCCCCCTCTGCGCTCCCGACAGGTTCGTGGCTGTGGCCGTGCCGCTGCGCTACAACCGCCAGGGTGGAGGCCGGCGACAGCTGCTCCTCATTGGCGCCACGTGGATGCTGTCCGCGGCGGTGGCGGCGCCCGTGCTGTGTGGCCTCAACGACGTGCGCGGCCGCGACCCCGCCGTGTGCCGCCTAGAGGACCGCGACTATGTGGTCTATTCGTCCGTGTGCTCCTTCTTCCTACCCTGCCCGCTCATGCTGCTGCTCTACTGGGCCACCTTCCGCGGCCTGCGACGCTGGGAGGCGGCCCGGCGCGCCAAGCTGCACGGCCGCGCGCCCAGAAGGCCCAGCGGCCCCGGGCCCCCGGCCCCCGCTCCCGGATCGCCCCAGGACCCCTGCGACCCCGACTGTCCGCCCCCGGCGCCGGGCCCTTCCCAGGACCCCTGCGACCCCGACTGTTCGCCCCCTGACGCCACCTTGGCCGCGACACTCCCGCCCCAGACCCAGCCGCAGGTCCCCAGGAGGCAGCGAGCCAAGATCACCGGCCGGGAGCGCAAGGCCATGAGGGTTCTGCCGGTGGTGGTCGGTGGGTTCCTATCCTGCGGTGGCTGGGAGGGGAGGGGGGCTGACCGGGAGGGGCGCTGACCCCCCGGCGCCCGCAGGGGCCTTTCTGGTATGCTGGACGCCCTTCTTCGTGGTGCACATCACGCGGGCGCTGTGTCCCGCCTGCTCAGTACCCGCGCGGCTGGTCAGCGCCGTCACCTGGCTGGGCTACGTCAACAGCGCCCTCAACCCTGTCATCTACACCGTCTTCAATGCCGAGTTCCGACACGTCTTCCGCAAGGCCCTGCGGGTCTGCTGCTAGGCGCTCACCCCCATCTGAGGAGGGGGCGCTTTTGTCTGCCTAATTAAACAAATTCCTTCCTAAACGCGGCTGTGAAGTCTCCGGAGGGTGAAGGGGGAAGAGGGGCTTCAGCTCCGCGAGCCCAGGCCCCCTCTGACACCCACCAGACCGTCAGTCAAGGAAGTCAGAAGAACAGACCTCTCCCCCCCTCCACTGCCGCTCAGGGCAAGGAGGGAGGGCACCCTGCCGGCTCCGCCCAAGAGTCCAGAACCACAGCGGCCTGCCTCAGTTTTCCCTCTGGGCAGTGGCCTGCAGGGGAGGAGTCTTTTCACTGGAGGGTCGGGGCGGGGGTTTTTATCGCAGCTGCCCAGTCCCAATGGGAACACACTGCCCATGGGGTCAGCACCCTGAACAGACCAACTCCTGCTTCTGGGCTCTGCAGCCCCTGTCCCTGCAAAAGCTGAGCTGACCCACCCACCATTTGGGAAGCTGCCTAGAAGTCCAAGCCTAGCCTCCTTCCAGCCCCTGGCTAGAAGATGCTTCAAGAGGCAGAAGAGCCTGTATGCTGGGTGGGGCCACTCAGGAGCCTCCCTGGAGGGTGCTCCACCCTGAGGCACAGCCAGTCTGACCCTGGGAGAGAAAGGCGCAACCTCAGGCCCCTCTGTCCAGGGACAGCCCACTCTGGACTGCACCTCAACTCTCTCGCAGCCCAGGGTTGCGGGAAAAATGGGCTGAGAGGCTCTGTGGCCCTGTCCTGCACTGGGGGTGCTGCTTGTGAGCAGACTGGTGTTTATAAAGAAGCTTAAACTATCCCCTGGTGAAAGGGCCACAGCCCAGTCCCCCTACATGCTGCTCCCTGCCCCTCTGGTGCTTGTGCCCTCCTGCTAGAGGCCTCAGCTGCTGCTTCCTCCAGGAAGCCTCCCCTGACCACCCACCTTCCAGGACTGATACCCCTCAGGGACCCTCTGAGTCTTCCTGCTGGCCTGGACACTTAAGCTTGGGCATTCACTGATGCCACATGGTAGTGGGAGGAGGGGCTCCCTCTAGGTTTGTCCCAAGGGCCTGGGGCACCCCAAACATACCAAGCCCTTGCTGACCACACAGAAGAGCTTGGCAGATGTGAGGACAGACTGTCAGAGGCCAGGCACATGCCCCAGGACCTCAGGGATGACTGACAGGTCTTCTGAACCCCACAAGGCACTCTGCTCACCGGGTTTGGAAGAAGGGATCTTTGGAAACTTTGAACCTCAACAAACTCATGGTCCTCAGGTTTCCATTTCCAAGGAAAGGGGAGATCCAGTCTCCCCCACAAATCTAGGAAACATTCCCATCCCATTTCTGCAAAGCTTGGTCCTGGGAGGCCGGATGGTGTCCCACACTCAAGGGGTGGTCGCTCACCACATTCACCTTGCAGCACCAGGAAAACCCACTCTGTCTCAGGGGAAGGCCTGTGTGTGGCTGAAGGGACAGCATCTTGGGTGCAGAGATGAGGCCTCTTCCTGGCTACACTGTGTGACAGCAACAGCCCTGAGCTCACGGATTGGCAGGAGGCAGCGGGCACTTGATGACAGGCAGACTTCACAGGTAACTTGTTAACTTAAAAAAATGAGGCAGCTCCCAAGGCTCTGGTCTACACCTGCCGAGAGCCCAGACACACAGCTGCCCCTACTCGTGACCCTTCCTGTTTCTTGCCCAGTGTAGGGTGCAGGGCTGGGCACTTTCTCTCATGCCAGTGATGTGAACTTGGCAAATACCTCGTCCCTCACAGTGATAGTACATCAGTCTGTCTATTGGTTTATCAGGCACCTGCAGGCACAGTGACACCACCCCCAGTGGGATCTGCACCTTCTTTCCCCAGCGCAACTGTAGCTGCTAAACCTGAGTGTGGAGAATACCAGCAGTGATGGCATCACAGGAAACACATGGAAGCTTCCAGAACATGGTGACCACTCCTTCAGCAGCAGTCCTGGTCAGCAGGGAAGGCAGGTCCAAAGAAGGAGCCAGGGACTCTGCATGCAGAAGACCCTGCTGAGCTCACTGCCCCGGCCCAGCCTCACATGGATGGGCCAGAGTCCCTGTACAGCAGCCTCATGTTATAGGACAGGGTGAGACTCTCCTGGTGCTCACTGAGGCCCTGGTGCAGTACTATGGACCAGGGCCCGCTTTGCCCACTGCAGTTAGGATGTGTGCAGCAGAAAGCGCCCAAGGGCCAGAGTGGAACCAGCCATCCCCAGGGACAGGGAGACTTTATTTACAACCTTATTGACACACACAACACGTATGTACACGCATCACAGGGCACACTGTGGACAGGATGGGATGCTTCTGAGCCCAGAGATGAGAAAGCACCGTGAGGGGTGGGCAGTTCTAGGTGGGCTCAGGAAGCTACCGGCCCTCCCGGTCTCTGCGTCCCGGGTACAGGCCCCCTCAAGTCCATTGGTAACTTGGCCAGCAAGTTTCTTCACTGTTCACAACCACCTCGCCTCAGCGCCCCTAAAGTCTTGGGAGGTGGAGTCTTCACCCTGTTCCAGCCTTACCACAGTGCAGAGCACAGGGCAGCCCTTCAGACGGTCACTTTCTCCATCACGCTTTCGGCAACATGTACATCATCCGCCTGCACAGTGACAGCTGCTGACTGCCCGCACACCTGCTGGTGGTCTTTCCAGTCCTGAAAGGAAGGATACACCATGTCACCAGGAACACTGCTGCCTGGCCACAAAACAAGAGTCACACAAGACACTGCTGGGTGTGGTCCCCAGGGTTGTGTACCTGCATAAGCCCCACTGGCGTCTGGGAGCCCAGCCCTCCCCACATTCTCCCGGCTTAAGAGATCAAAGGCAAACAACCAACCAGGTGGGAACAGGTCTGTACTCTTTGATCAGGTTTTTGCATTAGGAATTTAAACAAAAGAAATAGTCTTGCAGATTACATTGGGACTGAAGGACTGAGAACAAGAAAATAAATAAATTAATAAATAATAAATAAAATAAAAAGAAATGATACATGCAGACAAGTATTCACATACAACATTGTCATCCACAGTGTTATTTATAACCTCCGTAACCCCACCAAGGCAGAAGGATGACTTGAGCTGACAAGTTGGAGACCAGACTAAGCAAGAGGAGATCCCGTCCCTAAAAAATAGCCAGGCATTATGGCAGGTGCCTGTAGTCCCAGCTACTTGGGAGGCTGAGGCAAGAGAATCACTTGAGCCCAGGAGTTTGAGGTTGTTGTGAGCTATGAGGCCACAGTACTCTACCAAGGTTGACACAGTGAGACTCTGTCTCAAATAATAATAATAAAGATGGAAGGGGACACCAGTAGGCCCTATGTGCACAAGGGTTGGGCTCTGTGGCTCCCCTAGAAGGAGGGAGGTCAGTGCCAGGAGATGCTTCGCCAGCATGGTCCACCCTCATGCTAAGCTGCCCATGTGCTGAGCCACCTGTCCGGCACAGCAGGTGCTGGACTGTGCCTCACCTGCACCAACACAGCACGTGGCAGGCAGGATATGAATAAACACACACACAAGAACAGAAACAAATATGTCCTAATGTGCTGGGATGGCAGAATTTCAGCTGATTATAATAAAAAAGAAAAAATCATTGAAATGATTCTTTAAAAAAAATGAGATTTTAATTTAAAATCACCTGGACGTCAATGTTACTAGGCTTCCATCCTGAGAATATGCTGCTCTGGGATGATACGTCTCTGTCTCTGCCTCTTGGGAGGCAGGTGGGGGATGGAGCCCTAGTGAGGAGCTGCCCCACATGGTGGATGAGGGCCCTGGACAAGGCCTCCCACGAGCTCGTAATGCTTCCGTCTCCTATCTATGATGCCAGTGTGCTCCCTGCCAGGAACATGGGCAGACAGAGGGAACAGGCAGCCCAAGTTAGTGTCAACTCTGAGCTTCTAACGTGTTCTTTGAGCAAAAATGCAGACCCCCAAGGCTGACATTTATTTGTTTATTTTGAGACAGAGTCTCACTTTGTCACCCCTTAGTAGAGTCCCATGGCATCATACCTCACAGCAACCTCAAACTCTTGGGCTCAAGAGAAGTTGCTGGGACTATAGGCACCAGCCACAACACTGGCTATTTTTTAAGACTGGGTCTCACTCTTGCTCAGGCTCGTTTCAAACTCTTGAGCTCAAGGCAATCCACCTGCCTCACCTTCCCAGAGTGCTGGAATTACAGGTGTGAGCCACCACACCCAGCCCCCATGACTTTTAGAATCTCAAATTCTGGATTACTAGCCTAGGTTCACACCTATAATCCCACCACTCTGGGAGGCCAGGGTGGGAGAATCCCTTGAGCTCAGGAGTTCCAGACAAGCCTGAGCAAGAGTGAGAGACCCCGTCTCTCCTAAAAACAGAAAAATTAGACAGGTGTTGTGGCAGGTGCCTGTAGTCCCAGCTACTAGGGAGGCTGAGGCAGGAGGATTGCTTAAGGCCGAGAATTTGAGGTTGTTGTGAGTTAGGCTGACGTCACGGCACTCTAGCTCGGGTGACAAGTGAGACTATCTCAAAAAAAATAAAGAAAAATGAGCTGGCTC